GTTTACGGGGTGGAGGCTCCGAGGCTCAGCCGTTAGGTTTTCGGTCTTGCGCTGAGTGTTTTTTTAAAATCGAGATTTCGCCGCTGCTGAGCTCCGAAAGGTAACAAGCGGCGAAATAAGTTCGTGTCAAAATATCAACCGTCACTTTTTTTTGACCCGAGCTGCCTTGTGTCAAAACTCTCGGGTCAAAAAAAGGTGGGAACCCTAGATTGACACGAAAATTTTGGACTGATAGATTGACACCAAAAAAGTGACGGTTGGCAAATTGACACGAAAAAATATTCCGCCGCACGTTGCCTGGCGAAGGCGAGCAGCGGCGCAGCCTCAAGTTAGAAAAAATTCAACCCCAGCTGCACCGCTGCACCGCCGGGAAACCAAACGGTCGCGCTCCCTCATCACCGCACCCGACACGGAGCGAGGGGATGGCGCGCCTTGCGCGAGGTAGAATCCGCTACGAGTGGTATGATGAGTGCATTCTACTGCTTGCTGTGTTGTGCGCGCTAGCTGGAGAGGAGGACATGTTCCTCGTGATGGCCATGTTTGGCGTAGCAAAGCTGGAGACATGTTTCCTCTCGACTCCCGAGAAGTACACTCCGCGAACTACACTCCCCGAATCCCAACCGCCGCCAGCGGCTTCGCGCCCCTAGTACGTGCGCCCAGAGCTATACCGTCTCTTCCACCAACAACTGCTGTAACCTCTCCCTTCACGGGCGGGGCACCCGACTAGCTGCTGTTGTTGTGGTTATCTCCCGTGTGCTTCGAGTCCAGAGTCCAGACAGACCAACCTCGGAGTGTTGTTCTCGATCCCGCGATGAACGCACACGATCCTTGACGTTCCCCTATCGCGATGTACTCCCGGGAGCGTTGTGTTCACGTGTGTGGGTGTGCGGGAAGCTGCGTGCGAGCTTGCCGACTGAGTTGCGACTGAGTTGATGCCTTCGTGTGTGTGCGATGGCGCTCGTGTCAATTTGTCGTCTTCTCGTGTCAAAATACCTCAGGTGAAATATTTTGATCACGTTTTCGAAAAATTCTGGCCTGTCTGTGATTCTGACATGAAAAGTGCGGCGTAACCTCTCGTGTCAAAATTCTGACATCTCGTGTCAAAATTCTGGTCTCGTGTCAAAATTTCGTGCTCGTGTCAAAATTCTTGACACACGTGGGACCCATGTAATATATATACACTATGTTGCTCAATGATGTTCGGGAAAAGTCGTCCGCAGGTCTAGGTTAAACTCTGAGTATGTGACTCTGTCGGGCCATCCACGACATTGCAAGGCAGCTACGCCCAGGCTGAGTCACTCTCTAAGCGGCGCCAGGCGATACACGCGAAGACCTTGGTTCCAACCACCCACATGTGGCAACGACGCTCGTCGCTCCGCTTTTTTTGCTGCTAGCTTTTATCACACATCTGTCAACTGTCGCACTTTTGTTTACCATTCCAGGGCAAGTATGCTGAGGCCGAGACGCTGTGCGAACAAGCCATCAAGATCAATGAGACGGTTCATGGGCGTGAGCACCCGTTAGTGGCCAAAGGGCTCAACAACCAGGCGTGGTTGCTGGATGCCAAGGAAAGTGGCAAACGAATTTCTAGGGTGATTCTAGTATGTTTCACTGCAGCTCTGGGCTTCATTTTGTCTAAAATCCGACTGTCTGCCGCGCTGTTCACCACATATCATGGCATGTGGGCTGAAACAGAACCACGATATTTTCGGCCACAAGCCACACGAGGGAAGGTTCTGCACCTGGAGCGACCGGGTGTGGCCCAGGTGCTCAACACCAGGTCGGCCGTGGTTGAGAAATTGTTGCTCCGTGGTTGTAAATCCCAGTTTGACTGAGTTCTGCATTCAACTTTACCACGCTGTGTATGATTGCATGCCAGGGAAAAAAATGTGAGGCTGAACCACTTGTAAGAGCGGTGCTCGGCGATCTACCAAAACACCTTGGATTCAAGCATTCGACCGGGTGTGGTAGTAGAATGACCGTTTTTTGTTTGAGCGTTTCGTTCGTCCTCAGTGAGATTTACTCGCCATGACCACACTCGCATGACGCTTTTCAACCCTTCCAGGGCGAGTATGCTGAGGCGGACCTTCTGTACCTTCGAGCTATTGAGATTGGAGAGAAAACGTTTGGCCCTGACCACCAAATGTTGCCAACCAGCTAAACAACCGGGCGATGTTGTTGGGCACACAGGTGCGTTGTTAGCAATGCTTCCAGATGCTGCCAAAGGCATTGCAATTTCTGGGTGGAACTTCTGCAGTTTCATGGTTCAGTTGACAAATCATTCTCTGCCACTAAATCGGTGAAGCCACACTACTGTCAGTGGATATTCTGCTGCTCTTGCGAAGGTGTACCAATTTAGGAAAGAGTCAATCGACGGATACCCTGCGAATCGGGTCCTCCTTAACACTCTCCACCCCTAGAATATACCCTCAACTGGGAACCTCTTGTGGCCAGGATGGGTAATTCAATGGAAGTGTCACAAGGTTCTTTCTAGGATCGACTCCAAGAGGTGTTCTCAGGACTGACACACATTGTGTCCATGGGAAAATATCCAAGTCAGGAGAACAAGTGTGCACCCAAGGAGATTCGAACCAGTATCCAGCTGACGCCATATGCGAAGGTGTACCGATTCAGGTAAAAGTCAATCGACGGATACCCTGCGAATCGGGTCCTCCTTAACACTCTTCTGTTGCGAAGAAGCAGGGCGGTGCCACAAGAACACTGCCGTAGAGTGCTTGACTTTGCATCGGTAGTTTACACAGCCACCTCAGCACAGCACACCCCTGTAGCTTCAACTTGTAACCTGTTCAGCAGTCGCTGCGAATATTGGCGTACTCACGATGTATTTACAGGGAAAGTACGCTGAGGCGCAGCCTTCGTGTGAAAGAGCCCTGGCCATCAGAGGAGGTGCTCTGGGGGTGGACCAACCGGACACGATCACGTCCCGTGGTTGTGTAGCGTACTTATATGCGCGACAGGGATTGCTGGACAACGCTTCTCCTTTGTTGGAGAAGGTCGTCAGGTCGCTGGACCGTGCGGAGCCTAAACCAATCATGCGAGCAAGGCTGCGGTGCTCCTACACTGGGCGTTGCGGTGTTCGTCAAGCAGGTAAGATGACTCATTGATGCGCCGGGAGTTTTCTGCAGTCCACGGACATGTTGGAGTGCGGCAAGAGATGTTGGCACTTTCGGCGACAACACAATGATTTCGTGACCACCTGTTCCTTGATGAACCTCCCGCTTGACTCTGTGTACTGCAATCTTGGTGGACCACTTGCTGCAACCCACAACCCAAGGTGTTATCAGCCAAGCCTTCACGCAATTTCTCGAATGCATCTTCAACGTCCACAGGAGAAGTGCACGGAGGCACATCCCCTACTGGAGAGCGTCCTCTCTATCCGTGCGAAGATACTTGGGGAAAGCAACCCACGCGCGAGTACCGCTCCAAACAATCTGAAGAATACACCAAAACAGGTTCGTGCGCCGTTGGGGCGGTATGATAGGCAAGCCTTATGCACAACGAATGCCTAGCTGCAGTAGTAACACAAATTTGAAAAATCTATTAGTCTAGTCTAATCGATGAGGAATCGTTCGGGGGCAACTACCCCAACACGGCCCCTGCTCGGATCAGGCTGGATGCTGTGCGAGAAAGGTCCGTGCACGCTTTCGGTCGGCGGTCTTGTAGGCGAGCTCATGCACAACGAACCACGCAAGATCCTGACACTACTGAAAAATCTCTGCTGTATGTTGCAGGTGGGAAGGCGGGGTCGAAGAAGCTGGCAGCGATAGATACTAGTCATGCAAACGCTTGACCAAGACAAGGGAAGAACGCCCATGGACGACGCGCGTTTTAGCGTAACGTTACGTCGCGTATCTGGCTCACGTCCATGAGGACTTCTGTAGTGTACAACGAATCGCAATTCTTATTGGTGGTGGTGATGGTGATCAGTCTATGGTTCTTTTCCGCCACTCTTTTTGTGTGCTGCGCCCTGGTTTCGCGCTATAATGGACGTAGAATTCTCTCGAGTATTTTTATCGTGCGCGTGGGGGCCATCTTTCCAAGGCAACGTGTCTCGTGGTCGTGAGGCCGGGGGGTGAGAAAAGAACCACTTGAAAGTTTTGAAAGTGTTGTACATTATGACTTATTCGAATAAAAAGGCTGGCCCGAGGAAAAGTACTGTACTCTATGGGTCTCCAGCAAAGTAAGGTCCCACGTGATCGATCGGCGCGCTTCCGCCAAGTACGAAGGGTGGTGCGCGAGCTGTCTAATGGAGAGCTGACGAACCGAGCACGAGGTTCGTGTTGTCTCTGAGCTACTGTCACGGAGGTATTGGCAGAAAAAAATGGAGAGTGACGTGTGTTTTGATTCTAATATCGGTGCAGTTCGCCAGCATCATACCCAGGTATTGCACGTTTATTGATTGTTGTAAGACGTTCTTGTGCCCCCGCCTGTTTTCACCGACGCAACACAAATACTTTTCGTCCGTGCAGGGACGTGAAGTTGTGTTGTCTGCTGCAATCCTGCCACATCATGGTTGATAGATGCTCAGGTCGCGTCGGAGGCACGGTCGATTTCCCGAAAGTTCCGGTCCTAGGCTACCATCGGCGCTCAGGAAAGCATCCTCGCTATCCAGAAGAAGGGATTGGCAGCTCGGACGTTGTTATTTTGGCGATCTTCTCTGGCTGTTCTTCACGCCCTATATCTTGGCCGTCGTCAACCAGCAATAGGCAGCCCGCTGCCGCGAGCCCTACTTGTCAGCAGGGCCAAGTGAAGTGGAAAACAGGCACGGATGCTACACCCGGTATCTCCCCGGGGGCGACTCAGCGGCTCGGCGATTTGTGGATAACCACAATATCTTCGTTCACTCAATTTGCAACGAAAATTGGTGTTTCAGTCGCCACTGAAAAAGAAACTAAGAATTTTGTGTTGATGCGATTGTGACACAATCGCCGTCATGCGAGACAATGGATGATTGTTGTGACAAAGCCCAACGTTGAAATCAAGCCATGGTCGTTGCCTGGCGTTTGTAACAGGAACCAACTTTCAATCAATTACAGTCATGAGCTGGAGTTGTTGCAGCAAGGACTCATCATCTCGTCCGTGGAGGTCAACGGATTCGTCCATGGACAACGTGCACGGGCGTCCTTCCGGTGTCCATGGACGCGTCCATAGCAAAGTCAAACAATGACCATACGAATGAGCTGCACAAGCGACGTTTGACGAAAATGGGATTTTCCCTTGCAACAGCAGTTCAGTTCAAGAGGTGTTGAGGGTGAATACCAGTCGTCAGGATCCTGACAAGCAAAATTCTGGTGAGCAAAAGCCTCACGACGTGCGAGTTTTGAAGACAGGGGTGCCAGTTTCACCAAGCGACATCAATTCGCTGCTTAACGTGGTGCAGGGAAGTGCTGAGATCGCAGCAACCACCACCGGATCCATCGCGACAGACGAAGTTGTCCCGATGGCCCCTTTGTTGGGGGTGCTTAGCGGGCACTTGAAACGTGGTGGTAAACGTGTCACAATCGATGTACTGTGCCTCCCGCCTGACCGCAAGCACCAGCACGTATGTGGGCGCCATGGTCGTATCTACATGTACATTATATTCGTCGGGCATCAGAGTTGGGACAAAACAGCGGTATGGAAACCCGTTCCACAGGCCCAATAGCAGGACGGCAGCGACCAGAGTTCCCCGTTGTAACCTGTGTCCCTTTCCCACCACGTGGCTCAAACAACTCTTCGTACAATACGGAACACGCTTCGCTAAACACAATTGTTCACATCGACCACACCATTCAAGTGAAGGTCCCTCTATTGTTTGCCCGGTGTGACCTCCGCCCGCTGGGTACTGGAGAGCTCAGCAGCAGTAACCAGCCTAACCCCTCGTACGGCCGAAACGGTGACAAGTACCGCGATCTCCTGCAACCCCCGCTAGTACATGCCGGTCAAGCCTTCGCCGAATACCTGCAAATCAGCACGCGATTGCGATGAAGCGTGAAACGAAACACCCGATACGTCGATCAGTTGCAACGAGAGCGAGTGCGACGTGGCGGCAATTCTGGCTGAGCAATGGCAACCACCAACACCCGGCCGATCAAGGAGGGCAGAGTTGTTTGTACCTCCATGAATGGCGTAGCTCCAAAGCAATGTGGTGGAAGGCAAAATGTGTTCGAAGAATACATTCATGGTACGACATAGTACAGGTGGTACTGTTGCAACGGTAGACCAGGAAGTAGACAAAATATTCGAAAGCCGACTCGTCTCCCGGGTAAGAACATCTGCTACTAGTATCACGCTTGTTTGCGCAACACTCGGAGCATCAAGATTTTCAAATTGTCTCGAGTACGTTATCCTCGCCATCACGTGATATACATAATTCCGAAGCACGAGAACAAGCAACCGGCGAACGAGGCCTGGCAGATGGTCCTGCTTGAGGAGAGAACTCTGCAGTGCGATAACTGAGGCCCCATCCAAAATGTCAAGGATCCACTACAAATGACGCTTGTTTTGCCGCGATAAGATCGTCCACTTGGGCCACAATGGAACCAATGGGCTGGGTTTCGATGCCCACCGACCAAAACCATGAAATGGTTGTTTGTGAGTTTGCGATACTGTTGTGCTGCGGACACAAAAAATATCAAGGAAACGGCCACAATCGGCAAGAGTGTCACATCCTTCGAATTTCGTACAGACAGGAATCTACGTGGACCCAAGACCTCGACTTACATCGCCAAGAGAGTATATGATGTCAGGATTGAGAGAAACACCACGAAGCAGGTGCAATTGAAAGTTTTGGAAAAGCAGAGCGCCACCAGTAGCGGGTCGACAAGGTTGAACTTCCTCGTAGATCGGAAGGCGGTGCGACTCTTTGCTGCGCAGTTTCGTTGACATGCGAGGTCTTAAGCCTCGCATTGGTACACTGGTGCTTGCTTGCAACAACGGCTGTGGACGATGTCTGTGATTCACAAGGCCCGACTGGCTATTGAGGTCTCAGGTACGGGGAAAAAACACTTTGAAGTCATACAGATGAAAACAACGCGTACAGGTACCTAGTGACACCCGGCCTACAGATATACTGCAAAAAACAGCAACTCGCGAAGGTCACAAGCTTGTCTTGTACAGAGATGTGCAGCGCTGTCGCTTCGCTTGTCACTCGACTGACGGGATTTGCGCCTGCCTCCATCAACGCTCCTACCATCTCAGATCTTCCGTGAAGCGCGGCCAGGTGAAGCGGTGTGTGGTGGGTAGTCGCTATCTTGGCTTCGAGCCCTCGCCAACGATTCCCACGACAAGTCCCTGTTCGGCAGAAAAGTGCAGGGCAGTGACACTGTCGCTATCCACCATCGACACGTTGGCTCCCTTTCTGAGCAGAATCTCCACAATATGCGCGGTACCCTTAACAGCGGCCATAATAAGTGGGTGGCGCCCTCAGCATCGCCTTGATCGATGTCAACAGATCCCGTCGCCAGAACGGCTAGCGTACGCTCGAAGGAACCAGTCAGTTACGGCAAGGTGGAGTTCATTGGCCACTGTCTTCAAGCGGGTTCGCGGATTCATTCTCGGTTCTGCCTCTGATAAGGCTGTGGTGCTGATTGGAAAATGAGGGCAAAAGGATCAGCAGTGGGCAAGCCAGCCGCGTGGTGCTCGTTGCGTTGTTGTGCACTGCTGCTGTACGACGCTTGTTGCACTGCGCGGCGGAACATCTGCGGGGATACGCCATATGGACTATGGGACCCTGCTACTGTACGTGAGGCCCCACCATTGACGTGCCCCCCGTCGTCGGCGCAAACTGGCGCCGGCTGCAGGGCAACAACACAGTAAGCACCAGGCAGGGCGGTTTGGCACCTCTGGAGGTAGCAAAGGGGTGAAAGTAATCCCTGCGATTTGGTAGCGTAGAGTACATCCTATGGCGAGGTCTAGGCCGTCCTCATGGAGGGATTCGAGCAGGGGCTCTGCAGCATCATCGGTGGCGTCGAGCAACCAGCGCTTTGGATCTCAGCATGTTGGCCACGCTGATCCCGCGTTAACACTGGATCGAGTCATTGGACAGGTAACTGTGTACGCCTGAGGGGAACTGGAGGCGTTCGAAGTGATTCGGAGCGCCTGAGGCTGTGTTGCAGTACATGTGTTTTCTATGTCCAACAATATTTGTGCACGTGAGATCTTTGTTGTTACCCGCTCGCTCGTGCGCGGTCGAATAGGTGTGCGATGTTCTTCAACCAGGCTGGTTGCACGGCCTGCAGCTCAACACGCCTCTCCCCATCAATATAGCTACTCCCGTTTGACACACTATGCAGCATGTCTACTGCTGTCACCCCCATCGCTCTCTACTCGGCCTGTAAATTGTACTCCAGCTTCAACTAGCTGTGGGGATCACTGCTGTCACATGACCTAACTGCTGGTTTGTGCGTTGCTCTATCGTACACTGGCTTTGCTTGTCCACCAACACATACCGCACCTGACGTGGCTACTTGAAAGTTTTTGGTGCCAGGATCCTCAACCGGGAGCCTGTTCTATGCACACGGCTGTAGACAAGACAATGCACATACGTATCGGAGACTACTGGCATATGTAGACTACATATCGTTACCGTCACATGGTCACATGATCTTTTGTGGGTTGACCCGCACCCTCTGCGCTCTGCGCCCATCATTCGGCAAATCGCAAGACATGCTTGCACAACAGCGCTCTTGCCGTCAATCCCATCACGGGAGACGTGGCGTATCCGGCCGGCTGCGTCGTGGTCATCTACCAACCCAGGAGAAATCGGCAGTTCAGGTGACGCTACGGTCCGCTGGGTAGGCATTGGTCCTGTGTAGACTATTTCCCTTGAGTCTAGTATAACAGCAAGTGTTTTTTAGTTTGAAGAAATGAACAGCAACAGAACCCCCACCACCACCAGCAGCAGCGTCAACAACACGTGATATTCCACGATATTTCTGTTTGCAGCATCCTGTAGAACATCGCGGAAATTTGCGGGGACGGGGATCAGACTGGTAGCACAACGTCGTGTGGTGTGCACGCACCCGCGCGACGAATGGCGGCGAAATTTCTGAAATGATGCGAAGATCCGCACTCGGAGCATTTACGTCTCCTCGACTTTTCTTATCCTTGACTACTTCCTTACTGTCTTCTACGCGGCCTGCCCCAATTTACCCCAAAAAAGCTACTTTCGTGCCAGCAAAACGGTAAGCTGCCTGGCTTTCTCCAGAGATGGAGGCATGCTGGTGGTGGGGGAGAGGGGACATCAGCCGTCGGCCACCGTGTGGAACCTCGCCACGGGTGCGGTTGTCCGGGAGCTGGTGGGCGGGCACCGGTTCGGGATTGGCTGCATATTGTTCACGCCTAGCGGGGGCGGCGTCATTACGATGGGTTTCAAGCATGACCGGATGCTGAGGGTAAGAAATCGGTTGCTGTTTTATCGTGTTCGTCTCGCTTGAAGAAATGGCGGGGGGGGAAGTGTGAGTGCCGGGTATAACTTAGGTAAACCAGCCTGGCATCTACCCGCACACAGCACGTGACTCATCTCTCCCGTTTGTTTCTTATTTGTGTGCGAGGCAACATTGCTGAACATTGCAGCTCCAAGGTATGCAGCTCCTAAGCTTGGGAACGTGGGACCCACGGAAAGGCCAACGCACCCCAGACACGCACCATCTGTCTACTCGTTTCTCTCCCCTCTCTCCCGTGTGCATGCAACGACCGCTGGCGTGAGCCACGGGATTTCTGTCCACGTTGCCTGTTTTCTGTGGCGAAATGGAAATCTTCGTTCTCAAAGGTGTCAAACGGCCGATGTAATAGTGGCACGCACACAAGATAATACTGCGGCCATCCTTTTTTTTAAAGACATGTACTACCGTACGTGTCTTAACAGGGGGCGGGAACGGTGGTGCATCTCGAAAGAGGTGCTTGTTTACTGGTGAAGCAATTTTAGCAAGTCATCGAACCGGTATCCCCCGTGGCAGGTGTGGGATCTTCAACTGGCGAGGGGGCGCACGGGAGTTTCATCCCCAGACCTGTCTCCGGACCGATCTGCTTTCACCGTACCTGTCTACCCGTCGTCAGACCCGGAATCTCCGCCCCCTCCGCCACCGCCACCATCACACCCATCGAACGGTCGTTGGGATCCGGGCGATTCATTTTGGACGACAGCGGCGGTTACGCCGAAAAGACAACACGACGCTCGAGAGGTGGGAGGGATTGAGCAGGAGTGCTGTTCGGAACTGGATGGGATTTTTCTTGTTTTGAGGGGGGGGGTCGCGTTAGTCGCGCAGGGCAGCGAACAGAGATGGAATACAACAGACAACTATCGACGTCGTTGTGTTTGGTCGGCGTTCAAATCCAGCGGATGCCGGTCCTTGCGTGAGTGGGAGGGCACAGTCATTGCGGGTGCTTGAGAGGAGGAGTGGAAATAAACAAAGTAGACCACATTCCTTGAAATGCACCTTGACCTAGGATGTGTGCAATGAAGGGGTAACTGTTTTGGGGGGAATTTATTTGCACAGGGAAGCATGAAGGTGCATGCGACATACTTCGGTGCATATGGTATGGAAAAAACAGATGAGGGGACGACGGCTGAACGACGAGTAAAATCGATACACTGGACACCGAAGTGGGAGGGGCTACGATAGCCACGATATTTCTCCTGTTGCTTGACAGACGCTTCACTAACAACGAAAACCGACCACTTCTTATTGAAACCAGGAACGATCCCGCGTCTCGAACGATACGCGCGGTCAACGGTCGATCAGCAACTTCAGTAGAGCATGAGACCGCACCCTCGAAACGTCCCGCCCGCTCTCACCCTTCGCCGCTGCCCGGGTAACTTCCAGTACTGGAACGTTTCTTAAAGCTTACCAAAATTGCTGTTGAATACCAGTGAGGTGGTTCTGCGCGAATTGAGCCTCGTCAACCAAACACATTCCCATAACACGACCATGTTGAACATCACATTAGGTCGCCAGCGTTCGCGTGCCGCAACGGGTCCGTGCGATGTCCTTCACCTCTGACGGGGAGTGCCTGGTCACATGCGGCGACAGCCACGTCAAGTATTGGAAGATGCCTGAGAACAAAGGTACATCGGGAGCACCAAACGGGGGGGGCTTCGTTGGGATCGGCGCAGATGCTTCTCTTTCTGGCGCAACCCCGACTCCCAGAGGTGGAGCATCGTCCCGCGGTGAAAGCGGCGGTTTGGGAGTGGCCGGGGGTGGGGAGGTTGTTTCGCCGGTTGTTGGCGTTCTTGAGGGATGGGCCGCGACCATTGGGGAAGAGCTTAAGGGAGCGACGTTCGTGGACGTCTGCTCATCGGGTACGCGCAGCGGTGGCGGCGGCGGCGGCCACGGAGGGGCGGGAGGGGCGGCTCTGGACAGCGTGTTTTGCGTCACCGCGGAAGGCGTGCTGTGCGCGTTTACTCGGTGAGTACGCTTCAACGTTGGAGCATGTCGGTTTTATGTAAGCGATAGTCGTGTGCCGTCGAGGCGACACGTTCATCTTCCTGCTTAGATTGGATATACGACGTCCGGATTTTTCTGAGCTAGTAACACAGGCCTGTAAGTCCAAGGCGATTGGTTAGTCGGAAAGGCAGGAGAGGGTGACGGGCTCCGGGAGAAAGCTGGCAGAGCTTGCAAGCAGAGAAAAATTCTTGATTAAGAGCGCTTCGCAGACTCTATTTTCGTTGTCCTAGGTTCTCAGAGATGCCCGAAACAGAGCAGTGACTGGTGATTGTGGTCACACCGGAGGCTTCAACACGCGTCTGACCCTTGCCCCACCCCCTCTCCCCTGGCCGACGACACAAGGGGTGGTGTGATGGAGCATTGGGTCTCGTTGGAGGCGCCCGCTGCCTACGGCCTATCTGCACACGAGGACGGCACGCTGGCTGTGGCTTGCGCCGACGGAGTTGTCAGACTGTTCAAGGCCGACAGCCTCGGCTACGTCGCCACCCTGCCGCGCCCGCCCCCGCTGGGCCACGCCAACATCGCCTCCGTGAGGGAGCTCCAAGAGATCGCCGACTTGTCGGCTGCGGCGACGAAGGCTGGCGCTGCCAGTGGCACCGGCACTGCCGGCGGCGACGGTGTTGGCGCGAGCCCTCACGCCGTGGCCGAAAATTCCTTCGCTAGTGGGTTTCGTGGCACAGCGGATGCTACGCCCGAGGAAAATGATAGTGTCAATGTCGGAACCATCGACGAAGACGCGTTCGGCAAGGTGGAGAGCGGCAACGGCGACCCCAGCAGTGGACACAGGTCGGTGGTTCGGTATCCCGCGGCGCTGGGGTGCCGGCTTACCCCCTGCGGAACGAAGGTGGTGTGCATCTACGCTGACAGGGGGCTTTTTATCTGGGACGTAACGGACCCGCTGTGCGTCGGCAAGTACCGGTCGTTCCTCGCACACGGCGGCTGTATCTGGGACATCCAGCGAATGCCCGGTAAGCGCCGAACGCTGCGCTTTTTACGCACACCGAACGGGTTGAAACACGGACAACAAGCGGGTAGTATAGGTCTCTTTTTTGCCAGCAACCTCTGCGATCGCTCGGAGCGGAGAGACTTGTGAACCATAAACTAAGCCGCGTGCCACAATTCAACCTCTACTCGCTCATATTTCAATGCATCAAGTTTCGCATATGTTCTCCTCTTCCTACACACACCGACACGAGAGGGGATTATCCACCAACCGAGAAACGGAGAGGCGATCAGGGAGCCCGGGGGGGGGGGCGAAGTCTTACGTTTTGCATACGTTTGCGGTTTGACCATGGAACACGCGTCCTCAAGAGGACAGAGATTTTCTCCCACAGGATCGATCACCGATTGCCAATCATTCTTTCCTACCTTGCCAAAGGTGGCTCAAAACATTTTCCCTGGTCTATCTACCCTATCCATATCACTTCCCGCCTTTTCAAACCACTTCCTATATCCCAGTACAGCTACCGTATTTTCCTGGCTATTTGATGCCTTGAAACATCTCTCTGTATGTTCCTTCTATTTTTCCCAGCTCAGTCATGTACACTTTCCTCTCCTTCTTGTACAACCGACATTTCGCAATTGCATGAACCCGGTCTTCGCACTCGGAGCCGCAATCACGTTTGAAATTGTCGTCTTCATCGTCCACCGTCCTAAATCTTCGTCTACGTTCTCGAAGGTCAAGGTGCCCGGTCCTAAATTTGACCTGCTTTGTGTTTGCATTGGCCTATGTAGGTACCCCCTTTTGAACCCTATTCCTTCGTTCCGTACACATCTAGACCTTCCTTGTTCTTGTGTTTTTTGTTTGATGCTGTTCGTCGCTCTCGGCGAAAGCAACACCGATCTTCTCCTTGAATCCCTCTAGACCTTCCGTTTCTAGTGTGTCACCTTCGTCAAGTCCTTCCCATACGTCTTCTACAACCTTGACCCACTCCGTGGGTTGTCTACCCCTGTTCTCGTTTACCTGCTTTGTCTCCCAAGCTATTGTCGGTAGCCTCTTCTCTCCCATACCGTACATGCGCAACATGCTCTCCATCATGTTCGCCCCCTGTACTCGTGTGGAAGTGTTGTACTCATGGGCCCGAAAATATCTCGTAAGAACACTTGATCACACGGCGTGCCCCGTGCGCCTGTCATTCATTCCGGCGCAGCGAAAATCCCTACGCCTCCTGGGGCTGGGGGTCAATCACCCCCTGTCCCAGACATCCCTGCCGGGGCGATGGTGACTTGCTCGGCGGACAACACGGTTCGAGTGTGGGATCTCGGGGCTCTCAATGGGGAGGGCACTGGCGATAGCGAGAATCGTCACTCCGGCAGGCAAGTTGATCAGCAAACGGTAACGATCATTCGACACACTACGATTTGGGGTCAGGTGGTGGAATCGGGAAAAGCAATCCCGTCATGTGTGTCGGTTTTCTTCTTTTCTTTCACAATGCCGTGTTTATCATGGAATGACCACCCATTTGCGACTAACCATCATGGACACCACCACCAACATCGTGCACATGCTTCCCTCCGTGTGGCCGCGAGCATGTTTTTGCTGCTCCAGGTGGTCCAACATCTACAGCAAGCACCTCCTGCGTGTGCTGTACGCCAGTGAGGAGGACACCGGTGATTCCAATGAAAACGTCAGCCCTGGCAAGAACGAGGCGCAAGGAAGGCGGGCGCCGAATGAGGACTTCGGGAAGAAAGCTGGCAGTAAGACTGGACGTTTCGGCTACTCGTCATCTTATCCACTGCTGTTCTTGTTTCTATGTGTTCCCCTGAATTTGCTTTAGCTAGCCTGGATTTCGGACGGTGAGGCAGCTAGCGAGCTGTACGTGGCAGGGGTGTTCAGTACTCTCAGCGGTAGATTCGGAATATATTATTTCTCCAAACACAACACCTATCTTTGTGTGCCAGGTACTGCCGAAAAGATATACCTACTTCGATGACACAATGCGCCCACCTGGGAGAAAGTTTACGGCTAGAGCACGACGTTCCAAACAAGTTAGCAACGCAAACCGCGAAGGAATGAAGTTCTCCCCCACACCGACTTTCCAGAGATTGTTGCTGGCAGGTCCTGTTCACGACTCAAGCTCGCGAAGTTCGTTGAGTTTACGCGCATCGTCCAACTATCTCAGGAAATCCCTTCCTTTGGCGGGACGGGCGGATGCGGGAGAAAAAATGAGCATGACGTGGGGGATCAGAAGGCGACGGCATGAAAAAAATCAATTTAGGTTTTCCTTTCTGGATCGTTCATGTGGGGTGTTTTCGCACTGCCCTAACTGGCTCGGAGATGCCGTCGCCGAGCCCGGAGCCGAGGGGTGCGTCGCGCTAGAAGTAAGCCTCAACTTGCGAACCATCTCGACAATATTCCCCAAAACTCAGAACAGAACGTGAAACATGAAGCTCGCGCGCATCCCTGTTTCCTTCGACCACAAGGGGTTTTCAACTTCTTCGGGGACGACGCGGCGGCGAAGAAAGTGGCTCTGTCCGAGGGGGATTTTGATCCAGAGATTCCATACAAGCCGGAGTGGTCTTGCTCTCCCAGGAGTCTGGCGGTGCACCCTGATGGCTCCCAGGTGTAACAACATATTCGCCTGATTGAGAGCGTAGCATCTGATTGAGAGCGAGATTGCGCGATACGCTGTAGCCGGACTACCACTGAGAGGTGGAGCTTGCTGTGTAGCTTGAATTGAAGGGCTAGCCCGTAGCTTCAAGCCGCTACCCTGGTCATCCTGTGGGAGTCTCTCGTTGTGGAGCTACAGCGGGGAGCAGAAGCTACAGCAGAGCCCACCGCCCGACGCGATACCGCCCTGAAACAGTTTGAGCAGAAATAGCCAATCTGGGCAAATCTAGCAACTTGTCTAGCTCCTCGCTGCAGCATCCGATGACGATGACACGCATATGCTCGCGAAGCTGCTGATGAGACCTTCAATTTGCACCGCTTCTTGGAATAGCCCGTCCCCTACTTGCCAAGAAATGGCAAGAGGCGTCTGGACCCGAAATTTCAATTTTTTTGGCTCTCGCTCTCAATCAGATACTTCGCTCTCAATCAGGCGAATATGTTGTTGTGTGCGATTCGGTTGCTGCCCCTCTTTGTCATGGTCTCTTTCATTTTAATTTTGACGGACACCGGACATCAACGGATATTCTCGCTTGCACACCGACTTGGTCGACAATGGGGGTGCTGTCGATGCCTTACCTCCTTCTGACCTGAAAACACGCGGGTGTTGACAGTTCTACTCTCAACACCGTCCTGGCCTCTATCTAACGCTTCCTTTCTCTACTGCTGTTATGAGGAAAATGTTCAAGTCACCGTGGTCGTAGGCTATTTCAGGTCAACAGACATATGCAAGAAGAGGAGACGGGCGCATACGTTATATCCATTGACGAAGGGATGGATGGGTTAGAGAGAAACAAGTGCTTGAATGTCTTTTCCCTCCTACTTGTCGTCCGTATGCTATTGGTCTTCCGCTAAAGGTGGCTTGCGGAGACAAAGGAGGCCGCATCTGTGTCTACGACCTGGAAGAAATGGAGCTGTCTCATATACAGGTGAGACAACAGAGCTTTGCGGTGGGTTCGTTTACCCCCTCTCTTCTGCTCGTCTGTAGTGGAGGCAATGATTGCAACTGGAGCGGAAACAAGACGGGCTTGATACTTTTTGGTGAACTCATATTGCGACGGTGAGAGACGGCAGATATAGTCTTCTTTGGTTGCTTCCACTGACGACTGATGGCGTGACGTTGGGGGCTCTGGTATAGCTCCCTGGTATGCATTTCCACGATACTACCGTTGCACCAGTGTTGTCCCCCCTATCCTCAAGCCGTGGTCGCCTCCTCAAGCCGTGGTCGCCTCCTTCTCATGTCTCTTCCGCTTGGCATCTCCCTACCGGGTGGCTGGGCAAACGATGATGGCGTCCTGGCCGTTGCAAAGTGCAGTCTGCACACGGCGCTGAGGTCCTGTGCCTGGCCTACTCCCCTCTCATGGTCCCCGCTCCCTGTGGCGGGCGCAGGAGCAGCACCTCCCCAACTCCACCCTCCTCCCCGGACACCGGCGGTGTTTCGGGTGACAACAGAGAACGTGGGGCAGGCGATGGCGGGGATGCCGGTGGCGCGAAGTCACTCTCTTCCACAGGGACAGTGTTGGTGGAGGCGCCACCCCCGTCATCAACTAGTAGAAGTAGGATTCGTGCGGCGAGGGGTGTGGGCGCTTGGGAGGCGGTGGACCCGCTTGACCCTGACGGCGCCGCGAAGATGATACTCTCTCTGTCGTTGATGTCGTCGTCGTCGCCGGCGTCGTCGGCGACAGCAGCGGCCGTGCCGTCGGAGATGGGCCGAAAGGCCGGTGGTCGTGAAGGGGATGCCGACATGTCGCATGATGACGTCATCGGCCGTGAGAGAGTCGAAGGGTACCCCGAGAGAAAGGAGTGTCGCGGGAACGAAGGCGGCGAAGGAGAAGATGCCCGGTCCGACGACGCTTGTGCTCCGCTGCAGCAGAGTCAGACCGGCGACTCAGCCCGCCGCAGCCCGCTCGTGCTACTGGCTTCGGCGAGTCGCGATCGTCTCGTGCGCGTATTTGACGCGTCCCGGTCACCTTCCGTTTGCAGTGCTGGTGTTGGTGGTAGGGGAGCGGGCGGCGGCAGCGGTGCCTCTGAGGCGGCGACACCGGCGGCGCGAGGGTCCGCTGCTGCGTGTGCGGACAACGGTGTGGCCCACAGGAGCTCAAGAGGGAAGAAGGCCGGGCAACTAGGAGCGCGAGAAAACGCGACGAACACGGATGCAACGGCCGCTCCAGGTGTTGCAGCTGAGACGGGGGTAGGGGCGGCGAGTGAAGCTGCCGGACTTCCCCTATTGTTGACGCTCGACAGCCACACGGGCCCCGTTGGTGCCGTCAAATTCTCGAAGGACGGAAAGAGGTAATTTGGGAAAACCTTGTTTGGCCATAGGTCCTCCAGAGTACAGGGGTCGTCACCCCTTCGTCAAACACTATGTATGTTGTCGTTGTCCTAGAAACTCACCGGAGGAAAGAGCGTTGTGAGCAATCACCGAATTTGGAAGCGGCATGTGAAAAAGAAGAGTGTGATAAGACGCTTGCTGTGTCGAAGCTTCAGGGAAGAACGAAAGAACGGCGGGCGAGCATGAGCGTGGGATGGGGGCAAGGGGGGTATCCCACCAATGCTGCGCGTCGTGGTCGGCAGTTGCTGATGTTCCTTCTCGGCAAAGCATCCGTAGCGGAAGAAACTTTGTCGGAGACCAACATTCTGTTTGTCCGGTGCCCAATACGTATCTATGATCGCCTTGCACGGAATAATTTGGGAGTTCGTTCTGTGGTATTGTATCGTGCTGTCGCTTTGAACGGCGGTGCCAGGCTCATTACGGCGGGAGGCGATAAGATGTTAGTCCTCAACAGCGTCAGGGGACCGCACGTGCACAGGTGAAAGTAGCAGACGCTTGTCGTGTGGTGTAGAACCAGCATTCGGCAACATGTAAGGCTTCCAATGTGCTTCAAACAAAGTCAACAATGCCTATCGATTTTCTCGTGAAACGGCCTGGAGCCATCGGAGAAAACCTCGCGAAAGTAAGCATAAAATGGGTCGAGGCAGGGTTCAAGGAAGAGCCCGAAAATAATGGGAATGTGGTGTTAAGTTTGATGTAGAGTGTCGGGACGGCCCAGCCCGATGTATCCCATCGCGATGTATCCCGTTGAGAATCGTAGGTCAGCCAATGAGGGAGACGCGAGTTGATCATGGCCATGGTGCACTACACTTCTTGAAGTAGTGTTCAAAGTTTGAGCTTCGCCATATCCCGCCAAGAAAACACCCGATCATGCTTAATACACGAACTAAGAAGGCACGGAGCACGGAACCTTGGCTGCACCGCTAAGATATTGACTACTGCCGCTGGATTTCGATATGCACTGGTGGTGTACTGGGTTTGTTTCCGCTGCCATTTCTTCCGCCCATGTTGGATCGCAGGCTGAGGGCGGTGAAAGTCACGCAGGGCACAATCTACGGCCTCGACGTCGACCCCACCAACAAGTACATCGTCACCGCCGGCCAGGTAACTGCTTGCTTCTGTTGTGGATACAGAGGGAAGCTCCGTGACTCGTCGCATAAGACTGAGATGCGCAACGTTCTTTTACCACTCAGATCCTGGGCCTTGTCGCGATGCACGAGACCAAGAGCAAGGCACACTCTCACTTTCTGGTGGATGTGACGTAATTGTTCAGTTGTCATCGAGGTAGAAGTCCACGTGGCGACCATTTCTACACGATGTACGAACGACGATTCGCAAGATCCGTCCGCTCTCGATGCATACAGCACTTGTGTAGTATATCGAAAAAATATTGTGATCCTGGTCACCGGTCCGCAGACAGACGGAGTCATCGTGTGGTTTCTAGCGTGCATGCTCTTGGCCGGTTTTGTGCGTTCGTCACGCGCTGCTCTACGTAAGTGGTCTGCTGAGAATGACGGTGAAGCAACTGGGTCACTCTCTCGATGTGTGTTGGTAGATTGTGTTTTTTTTTGTCTCTTGGAGGCGTTTCCAGTGGGTGTTCCCTCGAACCTTCCCTGTCACACATCGCAGATCGAGTAAATTTGTTGATGGTTAGTGTCGTTGCGAAACATCCCGTGCGGAGAGCAAGCCCCACGTAGAATTTATCATTTCCACCCCCACCCCTTGTGGGGAAGCTACATACTGAAACCTCACGAGTTGGGTGATGTTGGATAGTGCCAGACACATTGACACTTTGAGTGAGGATAGCTGCATATTGAGACCTAACGGGTTGAGTGACGTTTGCGACTGCCGGACACATAGACGCATGGAGTGACGAAAGCTGCATACTGAAACCTCACAGGTTGATTTGTATTGGAGATTGCCGGACACATAGACTCGTTGAGTAAGGATAGCTGTATACTGAAGATCCACAGTAAACAAGGTTTTCGTGTGATCGAGAGCGAAGTTTCTGATTGAGAGCGAGATTGCGCGATGCGCTGTAGCTGGACTACCGCTGAGAGGTGGAGCTTGCTGCGTGACTTGAATTGAAGGCCTAGCCCGTAGCTACAAGCCGATACCCTGGTCATCCTGTGGGCGTCTCTCGTTGTGGAGCTACAGCGGGGAGCAGAATCTACAACAGAGCTCACCGCCCGCGATCGAATCGCCCTGAAACAGTTTAAGGCAGGAATAGCCAATCTGGGGAAATCTAGCAACTTGTCTAGCTCCTAGCTGCAGCATCCGATCGCGATGACACGCATATGCTCGTGACGCTGCTGATGAGACCTTCAATTTGCGCCGCTTCTTGGAAGAGCCCGCCCCCTACTTCCCAAGAAATGGCAAGAGGCGTCTGGACCCGAAATTTCAATTTTTTGGCTCCCGCTCTCAATCGTATACTCCGCTCTCAATCAGGCGAAAACCCTGTTAGTAGCTATAGTAAGGGGACAATTCGAGAATGCAGTACACATAGACCCGACCCCCAACCAGTACCCGAACCCCCCCTGAAAAATAGCGGCCATGCGCCCCCCCCCTTCTCTACCTCCCCCAGAGGATGAGGAGGGTACAGTCCAAAGTAAGCACAAGCTCACCTACGGTTTATGTCTATTGGTACGGCATTAAAATAAATACTAAAGTCGCACTGGGCGGTGGAGGACGTAGAGCTAAGACCCCCCAAAACTCTCCAGCGTGAGATCCAACATGGATCGGACGGTGGGGGGGGGGGGGG